TTTTTATTTGGCTCCAAAGAGGATTAATTTGTCAATGTAGAGAGAGAAAGAGAGAGAGAGAGAGAGAGAAGGCCGATTCTGAGTAGACTCTGTTTATGGTAGGCCAAGAAGCTTCTATTGACGCGTTCTAGAAGCTATATTGTGTGTGATCTTGGACTTTGGTTCCTGTGATAAAACCTACTACTGTGGACTTTCTATTTCCCCTCCTCTTACCCAGCAATCCCACACCTCATATAACATCACTAATTTTACCCCTCTCTCTCTCTCTCTCTAAATTGACAACCTTCTCTCTCTAAACAAAGTTAAGAAATGGTAGGTGTGATTGTGACCAAGCCATTGCTTCTCATTTTTGCAGATATTTTTTCAATTCTCGTGTGAGTGGCGTGGATGGAAAAGGCTATGATGACGATGATTTAATGACAAATGCTACCACATTTCTCGTTGTATCATTTATAGAGGCTGGGTTGAGCCTAGCCTGGAGCAACTACTATTGAGTCGCGCATCGGAAAATTTGTGCTCACAATGAGCACTTGTGCACAATTAGATATGCATTTGTAACTGCGCACACACCGGAAATCACGTGCACATGCGTATAGAAAGTAGGCCTGATCCCAACTTGAAAATATTTTGGGCTTACCGGATCTGCTCGGGCATGTATTTCGCAGACTTGAACATGGGGATTGAAGCCTGCTTGAATCAGGTCAATCCTGGAACCTGCAGGCTAGCCCAAATCCCTTAACTGCTCTATTAAGGTAAGAGAGAAATAGAGAAATGAATCAAACATATCAAGGTCTAAATTAAAAAATAAAAATTGAAAAAAAAAAAGAAGAAAAAAAAAAGAGAAGAAGAAGAGAAAAGGAAAGAAAGAGAAAGACGAGGTAGTTTAAGTTCAAACAATTTTTTTTTTAATAATAAAATAGAGGAAGAAGCACATAAGAAAAGGGTCTTGTATGTCTTTATGTGTGTGATGAGAGAGCGCGGCCAAATGTAAGTAAGAGAGAGAGAGGCAATGCTTTTAGTAGTTACACAAAAATACAAGAAGAAAGGTCGAATGGTAAACAGCTTTCGTTATGGAATTTCGCATTAGACGACAACTAAGATAACGTTGCAGGGGAATCTCAAGGAAACGCCAGCCTTTTTTCGGGATTAGACAGGGCCAAGGGGAGGGGAACGTCGTTAGAGCCGCTGTCATTAAATTTATGTTACGATAAAATAGACTGACGGATTATGATTCATGTAGTCAATCTCAAATAATTAAAATAAGATTTTGATGATGAGACAGGGCCAAAGACGTTCAAACCCAAGCACGGCCCAACCTTGTTGATGGATTGAACAAACGACCTAGCAAAAAAATATTTATCGTTTGATTTTTAAATTTATAAAAAGAGAAACAAAAATTAAAAAAGTCAGGCCGTCTCAAACCCTTGGTCCAAGCCCAACCCCATGGCCTAGGGCTGTTGTAGCTGAGCCACCTAGCCCATTGGTGCTTAGAATGTAACATTATTAGTAGAAGGAAGAGAGAGAGAGAATCATTAAAATGTTTAAGAGAGAGAGAGAGAGTCATCAAAACGTGCTTTCAGGCTGCTCCTTTGCTTAATTGAAACAATGCATAAAGAATGAGACATTTAGACTAATAATCCTTGAGAGAGAGAGAGAGAGAGAGAGAGAGAGAGAGAGAGAGAGAGAGATACTATTCGTTCGTTTCTTTCGTAGTAAGAAAGTAAACGTAACGTAAACGGTAACGTTTATTTAATTTTTTACTTACGAGAACGAACGAAAGGTAATACTAGTCG